ATACTCTCCGTAGGATATCATTCGCCCAAGGGTCTTGGGGGTGTGCTAACTGGGAATTTCGAGCACTTCTTTTGAAGGATCGACCAAGTCGAAAACTAAACTCAGGTCCAAGGAACGATGGACAACAGACTAAACTGATGCCCCGGTGGTTTTTACGCCCAAATCCAACACTTTTGTGAAGCCAGGAACGATACCAGACTTCTGCCATCCCTCTGGTACTTCATCCCTTAAGTGCTGCAAATTGGTCTTGTCAGACTGTGAAGAGTTCTCCTCTATCTTTGAATAAGACTGTGCGCTTTGTTCCACTTTGGAAGTTCGATTTTCTTTAAGACTTCTTCTTTGAGTTGGAGCCTGAGAGTTTACGTCCCATTTTGAAACTGTTGGTGCGTTACTCGTTAGACTGAGCCGTTAGGTCAGCGAATTCATTCTTGGAACTGTTCGGCTTACCGAACTAGACGGTGGGACTAGGAGTAGACGTCATAGCTGTCATTCTCTGTGACGGCTGTATTGACTGTTGGGGTCGTGGATAAGTTGAGGAATTCAACGATTTATAATCGTCATCATTTTTTCTGTTTAGGCTTTTCTTAGCCGCAAATTCTTCAGGTCCATTTCAAGACTGAGAGTTAGACATCGTTTCAGAGATCTCGCTGAACTGCGCCATTGCTTTGTTTTGGGATGCACAGAGTGAAACAGAGTTCATAACGATTCGGATTTCGAACAGTCTTCATTTAGACAATACGTTCGTTTCGTATTCGTTAGTTGTTTAGACAGCTGCTGCTGATAGATTCTTTCAAATACCCAATACTGTAGACGGCGAATATCAAAGTGGTGAATGGTTCTTCAAAATATTTTTCAAAATGTATAGTCACCTGTTCGAGACGCCGTTTCTGTGAATGACTTGGGGTCTTTTTCTTTTCAAAGATCGTTTCACCAGCACTCGATTTCGTCGGGTCAGTCTGAATAAGGTTTCTGGTTGCGAAATCCTTCCCATTTCCGGGCCCATTCATTGAATTCTTGGGGCCTTTTAACTCAACTATTTATTGTTGGAATGCAGAAATGCTTTACTTGAGACGGATTGTTCCAAGGAATAAGCAAATTAATACGCTCGTTTTCACAATACGATTTCGGAGTCAAGTTGTGTACTCCAGAGTGAACGTCACTCTTGTACCGGACCTCTCCACCGACAGCAATTGCCACTTGTTCCAATTCAGCCGGGGGCTGGTTTAGGGTTATTGGCCCTGATGTAACAGGTGTGAGCGCTTGTGCTAAAATGTTGCTGGAGACAATTGATGTTCAGAACTCACTCTCTGTCTTTTACCTGTGGAGTGAACACTTACCAAGAATTCGCTGCCGAGGAAGGCTTTTTCAGAAATTGGCCGGCCAACCTGGCTATTGATATTACTCGCTAAAATCGCGGTATTATACGCACTTCTTACAAACCGAATTCGCCTTGACAAGTCTCTAAGGAAACTCTCATTCTCAGGGCTGCTGCTTTTCGGTGCATACCGAGACAACCAATAAACAGTTCATCCCATCGAGATGTTTTAGTCTTTATTGAGCTGAGCTAGTCAGCCGAACAGCGCAAAGACGAAAACTTACTGCAGTCTAGTCTGGTGAATCGCATTCGGTCTTTGGCCTAAACACAACTTCCACGCCTTAGGGACTAATAGCTATTGCATCAGGTTCGCTAGACACCTGAAGAGTGTGGAATCTACACTCATCCTGATGTGTAACCGAACTGGGGTCTTCTATCTGTTTCAGAGACAACATACTTCGATAAAAAAACTGACGTCCGTGTAGAAGATCTTCTTTGTCCAATTTGACAAAGAGTATGGACGTTGAAATCCGCGATGTGAAGTCGACTTTTCGACGCAATGGGGGTGTTTCATTTCTGTCCAATTTACTGCCTAGGAATCAAGCTACCGAGAAGCAGTTATATATAGAGAAAGGTCGTTGAACGAAGGGCTGTGCGAGAGAATGGTACCTGCCGTTTACACAGAATGAAGAAGGGGATAAGGCTCAGGATCTGACTCAATAGTCTGGTACACTTGGAAGTGCTAGTATAAAGGCTTTTTTACGGGACCGTCGTTGACAGTTTTTATCGACGAACTCTCCCCGGAGCCAATGACTCGTTGGCTTGACTCACTTTCTTGTAAGAGACCGACCAGGGGCGTATAGAATATGGTAAAGATGCCGTACACTTAATGCTGCTACATGGTAGATGCGTTTGGAGGCATATTTGGCTCCTTACGGGCCTTAATTGTACTGTGGTTATGTGCGATAATTCGCCGGCGGTTACGGTCAACCTTTCGGATAGCCAGAATTGTGGCTTTTAGGGCTGACCTTTTCCAACCCGTCCTTCCTCAGGGAAACACAACATAGCTGGTTTCACAACTATGGGCATATTTGATGCTTTGAGTAAACGCTTATTCTTGCAGTCAAATTGCCAGACTACATCATAATTGGGTTTATCCCAGCACACGGACCTGCTATTCTTCATCAGACTGCGCTCCGTTGGTCTTTCTAGCACGTTTGAACCCTAATGAATCGAATTTAAGCCACCGTAGCCAGAAGGATTGTCCCAACAACTAAGTCTGGCTTCCGTAATAAGGCGGGGGAGCTGGCTGATGATCATTCCCCGATTATTTTTTTGCGTCGTTGCCATCATATGAACCCGTTTTAACCGGTGCGTCTTTGTCGTCATCACCATCATCATAATCATAATCATTGTCAACTGTAAGAACTGCGTACTTGTCGTACAGTGGTTGTAGCTGCCACAGTTTCGTTCACCGGTGATTTGGAGACTGGGATAGATAACTACGCATTGGAGGTGCGAGCTGATTAATTCGTGCGTAAGTATGGCAATGTCAGTGGGCTGTCAAGTGGGGGATTTGGGAAGGGTGCTATGCATTCAAGACAATAGCTTGGATGCACGAAGGCCATTGATGGCGCGACTAGGCCATGTCTGACAATGTCTCCAAACATTTATGTGACCCTATGGGGGTCCCCATCCAGGAAGACGACAATGACCAGCGCAGCTGATTTCGCTGAAAGTGGCTTCCATACTTCGCTTCCAAGTCATCGTTTGATCGCCTCTGGCTGGTTTCCAGCCTCCACGTGGTTGTGCGAATTCCATTCGACGTACTTCAGCATTGCTGATCCAGTATTCCCACCAGACTCGGGCAATGCTCCGAAGACATCAATCGTCAAACACTGGAAATCTTTTGACGTCCCCAGCGCGCAACGGCCAGGTTTCTGATCCGTGTAGCAATATGGAGCGCACTGCAGCATTGTAAACTCGACCGTTTTTACACTGCATTTTTCTGACAAAGCTTCTAATTGAATCTTTCGGGAACGCATATGCGGAGTTCTTTGATGTCGCATAGAACACAAGTGAAGTAGGCGAATAATACGAAGATCCGAACCCCTGAGGAATTACAGCGGGGATCGGGGATTATCAGCTTGTATCAGACGATGAAGCGGATCATGTAGCCTTCGTGCAGTTTTGGTGCACAGCAGCCTTGCAACTCTAACGAAGTACACACACACCTGTTGCAACGTTATCGAAGTTTCGTCAGCAGCAACCAACAGGTTAGGGTTATTCTCGAACCACAGAGTTTCGTTCAGTAGCTTCTTTCGTCCAGGTATCTCGATATTACAACCCGACTAAGAATGCAACTTTTGAAAACTTTCGCCATTCCCTTGGATCCAAATTCGAGTGAGACACCGTCATTTCGCAGAAGAGTCCATAACGACCACTGTAGCATAAAATTTTGCGGACCTTTTCCCTGCTCTCCAGTTCCTTGTTTCGTCTCCAGAGGGGCGGTTTCACCCTCATTGGAGTGATTCTCGTAACAGTTGTTCAAAAACTATCTTGACGCTGGTAGATCCGTGTGTTAACTTTATTGAACCCAAGTAATGGAATTCTGGCTCATATATCCGAAAAAGCGGTAGATACTTGAGCGCTGGCCTCAAATATAGAGTGATAAGCATATTCATGCTAAACGATGAAGAAAAACCATCCCCTTATTCCCGTGGACAAAACCAAACTAGAGCGACTTCTTCCCAGTGCTTTAGCTTCTTACTAGATATTAGTTAACATATGCACTCACCGATTATTGGTCTCAATGAACGAAGCTGATACTAACATGGAACAGAAGAATCCAACTAAGTGCTCTTTCGGATCCAAACATACTTCACTTGAGCCTGTTTACCCCTGTTTGATCGAAGTATGTCTAAGATGGCACAACTCAAGAAGCTCCTGAAGCTTGCACTAAAAAAGAGTGCGTTGTAATCGTGACAGTGGAAGTAACTTAACCTAAGACTGAAAGTGATGATCTTTTTCGGCGTTGGTGTTTAGGATGATCATGTAAATATTGTTCGGAAGGACCGGTATCAAACTTCACCTATGTTGCGCACTCCCATCGTTTGAACAGCATTAGGTACAGTGCACCAAAGCCGTTTGCATGCTGGACGGAAAGCACATATGGGGATCGATTACAAGTCCAACCTTGACCATCACTGCTGAATGCACCTGACGATGAATGCCTTATTGCAACAATTGACCGAGTGCAAGTTTTTCATTCCACGAATTCCAAATATGTAAAACCGGCTGATTTTCGCAGCGGAAGTGCTTGATTGAACGGATAACCTGTTGTCATCTTACTCATACTCGTACGGTTGGACCAACTGACCTTGTGTGAGAGTCTGTTGAATCCTCGGGGTACTAGATGACGAATTCTATGGCTGTGTACGAATTCAGAAGACATCGTCTTTGTGTTTGACAGTATTTACCGAAGTGCGCCGATTATGCCCAGTTTATCTTTCTCTAAAAGTCCTTCAAACCACCGGACCCACACCCATCATCTGGACTACTGCGGACACTTGCTTGGATCAGCTGGTCGATGGTCAGGGAGGGTCGACATCAAGTTAGCTTTCTCGCTAGGAACTGCAGGGTACTGGTTAAAGATTGATCATTTTTCTATTTTTTGCTCTTTTCAGGACGCACCCGGTCATGTAAGAAACCAGTGGTGTATTTGACTCGCCAGTGGTGGCAAACAAGTTTTACCACACCCAGGTTTGGATCGATTCCCAATACTACGTGCGCCTTCCCTATTGCCTCGGAACTCGGACAAAGTGCGCCGTTTACTCTGTCACCTGTGTAGCGATTGTCGTGGGTCCACGATGCGACGAACGCTGCCAAGCGACAATAACTCCAGCAGATCGGGTCGCTCTCGCAACAGTGAGTTTTGTTAAATTTCCTCCAGTTTTGATGGAATTTAGAATTTTATAAGTCTCGAAACACGAAGCCCCAAAATACGTAGCACAGACGAAAAGCTAAACACACGAACCATAAACGTTTTGCTTACTGGATTGGTACTCCATTTGCTCAACTCCCGAATCACCCTGAAATTCCCACTGAAATACTTGATTTCCTACCCAGTCATCGTAAGAAGTTCATAACCATATCTCATCGAAAATTCCAAAACATCCTAACGCTAGAGAGGTTCGGTAGACAGAGATACTCCGTTCTTCGGCGAAAGCGTAATAGGTGATTTTATCACTAGCCTCTTAGTTTGACAGAATGACAACTCTGTTATTGCGTAAAATGTGGAGCTATGTGGTATGTTCTATTCACCCATTGACTCTTCCTTATTAGCATTCGGAACAGTTGTTATCCGTGGCGTCTGCATTGTACGTAAAAATTTAGGTTGCCAAATTCAGGTTCTGATATTTTTAGAACTCAAGGAACGTAACAGCGGTGCACTCTTTAACTTTGCTTCATAGTTTTGTTCTCCTAGTTTTGATTGATTTACCTTGCCCTGGTAATACTGGTCAGTCTTTCAGGATGAACATTTGTTGGTACATCATACGATTATACGGCAATATTTCACCTGAGTTCAGAACCTCCGGTGGTGTAAAACGAAGCCACCCTCTCTTGCCTTCCCCTTCAACTTTGTTATTGAAATCTCTCTGCCTGCCTCTGAAGTCTCACAGGGTCGAAGTACTCCCGGAACGTTTGATCACAAACATTGAGTATGGAACGATGTAGCTCTCCTTGGTTCAGGTCCTTAAAAAATTCAAAGCATTTTAATTAACCTAGACAACTCTACCGCACTGTTTGGCATGCACTTCACACCTGCAGTAAAAAGTGCTGCTACAAGACTGGGTTGGATCAAACCCGAACCTAATGCTTGCGGACTTGCCAATCGATGTGACAGATTAACTTATTTGACTGGGTGGTTACATAAGTTCCGGTGGACGGGCTGAAGGTGAGATGACTTCTCTAATTCGCAAGACCAGTGCAGCTCTCGCCAACCTCGAACACTTGCGGTGCCGGTGTGATGTCAGTTCGTCTGTCATGGGCAGATTTTACAATGCGGCCGTGCGATCCATACTGCTTTATGAATCCGAGACGTGGCCTCGACGCGCAGGTGACATACGAAATATGTCACTAGCAATGTTGTGGAACGTAGGTAGCTCGGGCGAGTAGAAATGTGTCACTGTTTGACAATTGGTGTCTCCGAAACATTGATTGGGTTTAGTGGGAGCATCGGATTAGCAATATTGAGGTGCATGAGTAGGTTTTGGGAAGCACGAATTTACCGAAGTTCTGTGGTTCGAACCCGACCTCTGCCTCTCGGCTTTCCCTGTCTAGGCTTGGGCAACCTGACAGTATCCCAGCCCTCGTCCTTCTTTCGGGTGGCGTGGGAGTTAGGCACCGGAAAGTTGCTATAGCTGAACAATTTTTTGGGGGGAAGAAAAGCGCACCCACGAATTACTCATGCTTCATAGGTTACACTGGTCGGGACATGTATCCCGCATTCCAGTAGACCGTCTACCTCGCAGAGCTCTTTTCCCCCACTCCTCGTCTGAGTAGAAGTGACTGAGAGGTGGGCAGTGTATAACCTGGAAAAAAATTATGCAAACACTAAACAGCAAACTGTCGGGTCAACAAGTGTCGCCTTCTTGCACGGGGAACTCGGGGTTCAACTCACCAATGATTAACGACACTGACAGAAACGGTCCAATCGCGCGGTTACTGGGTTTCATGCATCGAGGCTTTCGCCTTCGATTCGTATCTACACAGTTCCAAAACAAACTATACTTGCCGTCGCTTTGCTGTGTCCCACTTTCTGGTGATCGAAACTATGGCGTACCATACATTGAAAATTTCGTCAGCGCACGGGTCTCTGCTACTGTTCGTTTTATCGCAGCAATGAAAGCCAGTCAAAGAAAACCCTACTTGTTTTAAATGGATGTCTTTTGCTTCACCTCCACGTTTGCTTTCGATTTACCTTCCTTGAATACCGTTGCCTGCTGTAGCACCTTGCTTCTACCTTGCTCCTCTTCGCTGTGAGTCAACCCCAAAAACGAAGTTTCCAGTATCTGGTTTCAGGCCACACCCTCTGTTCGGTACTTGTTGATTGAGCTGAACTGATTGTTGGATAACATGCGCGCGAGCGATTGTTTGTGTGCATATATTTATGTGCTTTCATAGCGCAAATTGTACCTAAAAGTTCATGGAGAATTGACTGAACCAGTTCAGTCGGTGTATCCATCTCTACATGGGTGCAATTCCTCCCTGCGTGTTCTTATTGTTGCCCTTGTTGTGATGGATATGCATGTTAATAAACCACGTTTACCTATTGATCATCACTGGTCCATCAATCTTCATTTGTATTGCGCTTTTGTTTTTTACCTAATGACTGCTTCGAGTTGGATTGGTTTTTGTTTATTTGCAGTGGATACCCAGTTTGTTTCCAACTCAGACTAACATGTAGAAGTCATTCGACGGGTCCTTCGTATGCGAAATGTTACGGATTTCGCAAAGATCACCCGCACGTTCGTCCAAAGCGATCTTGCACTTGGTTCACATAGTAGAACCCTGTTAGAGCAAACTCGTTTGGATCGCAATAAAGTTTTTTAACCGAAATTCAGTCATAACCGTGAGATAGTTGTTGAAGGATATACAGCAACCCTCCAAGAATGACCACCAATCTCGGAGAACGACCCAATTATTTTCAGTTGGAGGAGCCGCGAACCCTTATTTCTACTGTACGAGAATATAATAATAGTAATAATATAGTGATAGTACGATAGCACTAGTACCATTACTATAATAGTGATTCGCGGCTCAAGTGTTGAAAGTATCAATGAAACACGGGGTGAATTATTGATTTTGTGGCTATCCTTTACAGCACCTAGCAAAATAATAAACATTCGGCATAAAGGCTATCTCTATTGACTGCAAACGTGTCCTTTTTTATGAAAATGGGAACAACTCGGTTAAGAAATTGTCAGTTTACAAACTCCAACTCGTGTGACGAAGCCTCTCTTTTATGTTAAGGTTGTGCGGGAACCTGTTGTGATTATTCTTGCTTTCTTAAGCACCAGAGGTAGAAAAAGTTGTTTCCACCGAAGGAAGAGCGTTTTGTGTTGACACAACACCATTGCAATGTGTTGTTACATTAGGCCATGACNACACACACAACACCATTGCAATGTGTTGTTACATTAGGCCATGACAGGTTGCAGGGTGTGAGCTTGATGCACATACTCCAACACCAAGCTGGTCTATGACACCATAACCCGTCCATATGATCACAAGGGTGCTTGGTGCGCTTTAAACCTAGTCAAGCCTACCTGTGCAGTTATCAACCATGGAAATCAGCTTGAAGTGTAACGTTTTTGTTTGCTAAAAGTGTTTCCCATAGGGCGGAGGATTGACGTTGTCTCAAACTGGTCCCTTGTTTAAGAAGATCGCTCCTGAAAGACCATTAACTGAAGCTGCGTGAGACCATACAAGGATAGTCTCCAGCGAGACGTGGTCTTTTTGGAAATGAGCAATTGTATTATCTAGGCTTTGTAAATCCGCGTCAACGGTACACAATTATATTATATATGTTATATATATATATGCATATATATGTATGTATATATGTATGTATATATGTATGTATATGTATGTATGTATATATATATGTATATATATATATATAATATTATATTTAACGCTTGACGAGTGATATCATTGATAGACACTGTTTGGCATCACCAGGCGAAATTCTAGTTTGGTTTTCTGTGGCCTGTACAGTCGGGACAGCTGTATAAACAGGGTATTAGCTACGGACTAAACCACTAACATTTCCAAGGGCCTAACCACAAGTGGTTTCATTTTGTATTGGTCTCTGCAGAGCGGATAAGTCTCTTGGTTCCGTGCTATATAGATCACACTAGTTTCCCAGTACCTCTAATCGCTAAGAGTGACAATAATACTTTTACACTGTTGGTCACATGTGTACAACTCCGGTGTACGAATCTGGAGCATTAAAAGCGGTCTGTGGCCTCAAAACCTAGCATCTTCAACCAACACAATCCCTGGTTTAGTCAGGAACGTTTGAAATCTCAAGTTGTGTGATCTATGTACACTACGTAATCATCCACCGGAAATCGAATAGGCTCACCTAAATCGAACCTTGCACCATGTAGGGAAAGCCCATATGAATTACTGTTTTCAAAGACCGCGAACAACGGCTTTCTAGATACCAAAACGAGGCCTACCATTAAAATGAGTACTGTCTTATCGAGCTGTTCAAGCTTGGTGGCAAGTACTGCAAGGTAACTTTCCTCACTTCCCTTGAATATGAGAAGTCGAGGATATCCCACTGGGCTACACTACTGTCTTTATTGATTGGGAAAGGAAGCTGACAAAAAGCATACAAGTCCCGAAAATCAGCCTGTTTTATAATGCCGCCAAAATTTTGACTCGTATTGTATGAAATCTTTCGAATGTGGGCCTGTTGGCAAAATCGATCTGGAAAAACACAGTGGCTTCCAGAGAGGAATAAGTACCTTGTTTTACTTTCTGTAACTACATAGGGAAGTGGCGCGAATGAAACCAGCCGCTCTACAGGTCATTCATTGTCTCTGGTTCGGCAGAGATTGTTAATCATTGAGTTCTCAGTTTCGAGCCTGTGAAATCGCATCTGCAGATATCGTAATCGTCACGTGGTGAAACAAGACCTCGTTATTTTGCCCACAATATTCAACTTGTATCCAACCGCTATATGCATGGAGGCGTTTCTAAATTCATCTGATGCAACTGTTTAGCGTCACTTGGTTGATCACCCCCGTGTGACTCAAACCAGGTCAAAAAGAGGCTACGTCATTTTCACTGATGACTGTGCATTACTAGCACAGAACTGTAGAATCCAGTTTTAGCTCAGCTATAGATAACGCTCGTTTTCCGTTAACCTACTCATGTTGGAGTAACTCGTGAATATCCCGAACATAAGAGTAAATGGTAGTGGGAAGGCACTGCTAACAGATTTTCGCCATCTCGATAGCGCTTCAATCAGCGATCCAACAGGATATACACCCACGTATTTCGAAGGCCAGCCTAGCATTCCGAAGACTTGAAAACGCGCTTGAAACAAACACCACCTTCGATTGGACACGAAAGTGTAGTTTGTCGTACCATCATATCGTCCAGTCTAATGAGTTTTAGAGGTTTAGGCCCCTTGGGTGCTTATGATAAGCACACCTTCCTGTTCCGTCTTCCGGCTGTACAATGTAGGGATGGAAGGCAGTGCGTTTCTTGAAGACGTTGCTGTCAATGAAGACTATGATATACATCACCGAGATGCGTGCTGTATACACCGTCAAATCCGTCTTCACGGATTTCGTCTGTGTTATTCATATTCATGATTGGTCAAATTTTAGACACGGGTTCTTGAGAAGACGAAGTGTACATAATTGAAAACATGTTTAACCACAAATAGCTGGCTTTGTTAGAAAATGTGAAGCGTATGGTACTGGATCGCATCCTAAAGCAGTTGCTACCTGGAAAGTTGAAGTGGGATCTACGAAGCCGAGGAAGATGGAAACTGTGTTACGGAGAAGGACTTAAGTGGGTTCAAAAAAAATATTGACTTTAAATCTTGAATAACCTTTGCCTCGGACAGAGGCGTGTGCCGAAAAGTCATACACATTTTAAGAAGTATCCTCTCTCGTTACTCGGTGCTCCCAGCGAACCCACTAGTGTAAGCAACCATGGAACTGGTCATTCTCCGGAATTATCTTTGTAAGGTCACATACTTTGGCCTCTAAGTGCCAACGAGTAAGTTGAAGCGATTTCGTTTTAATTTCCAACAGTGGAAGTATTTCCATACTCCATCTTTACCATCTTTGTCCATGACAACCGAAGGCGTATTCCACGACTGGTATGATCGCATCGTATGCGGAAAAGTGCCGTGGGACACTGTAGCTTAAAGTATTTGTCAGACTCCGTTGGTAACTCATTCTTGGACGCGGTGCGACTGTTCGTTATAGGCCATCGTGTTCAACCTAGCAGAAAGCGCGATATCTCGGTGTTTGTCCACAGATCTTACTGCTATGGGTTCACGTTGGATTTACGGGGTCTCCTGCATTAGCAGATCAAGCTCCCTACAGGCCTTCTAAGTCATCAGATATGCGCGCAGGTGTCCACTAGTTCACCTGCTGTTGGTAGGTGAATCCATGTCTGACGGTATTCCTCCCTTAGACTGACTACTTATAAGGAAAAGGATGTAGTTGCTATGGACGTGCTACGTTTGTCCCCATCCTGACATCAGGTAGTTGTTCCTGTTGTTTGGGGAGGAAGGAATAACTCTTTCATTCCACCTCTTGGGTTTTCACCCTTTAAACCTACTGTCTGGCTTCATATCTTTTGCTGACGCTGCCAGACCATACTAAACATCTGTAATTTTTACTGCCAAGTCATTATCTTATTCAGTGCGAAGTCTTCAGCATAGTGGTTTATTGACGTGCCACTGAAAGTTTTAAGTCTTGTTCATTCCGGTTCCTCCCAGGACTCATCCAAACATCTAGCATCTGCCTCTAAGTAATGACATATAAGTAATTATTTGTACCTAATATAAGCCCTGTATTGAGAGGTTTTACGTCGTTATCGGTAGTACCGAAAATGCCACGCAATCGGTGCTCTTTGCATCATAAGAAGCACAACTTGCTTGGATGTCTGAAGGTGAAGAGATCTTATGAAGGAAAGCTTGGTGGTTGGGATCCGCTGCATTCCAAGATAAATACCCAGCATACTGTATTAAGCAGGTTAAACTAGCAATTCGAACTGTCTAAAAATCATTTTGGCAATATGGCACAACAGGCATTTCCTATTGTTCCATTTCATTGTCTGGATGATGCACGCCTCCACTGTATCTGACGGTGAAAAAAGACCAGCTTTGTATTACTGAGTTTGTGCAGGTTATCTAGTGAAAATGGACTGATTCTCTCCATCGGTATCATTTTGCGCTTCTCGATTGGGTCTCCAGTTCACTCTCTAGTTGACCTAATTTTGTTTTCAAAACATCTAGGATTCTCGCTTTCCCCATCACTTGCAGCGTCACCATTTTCCTCTCTGCGTACATGCGGGTAAAACGGCCTTTTCCAGCATATGCAACACCGCTGCATTTATCTTCTTTTCAAGTAACATCTTGGCGTGAAATTACACGACCCAGTACACATTCAAGCTTCCGCTTTAAAGAGTATCCTTCACACTTTCGATCAATACGGCGGAGCTAGCTTGAGGTTGGATTTGTCGCAGAGAGCTTATGTTGTTTCTTTTTGGAATTTCGGACCATCATCCAGTGCTTGCCTTGGTGGATTTATGCCCCAGTTTGTGCACAAGATTTCATGCCTATTCTTGAGTCAGTAGGAATGACATTGGTATGTTTTGGCTGTGGTTCGATCTGCAACGTTGCTGTCACGTGCACGCCCGAACACGCAAGCGTCAGGTGTAAGCGCAAAGCCCGTTTTGATTTGTTTTGACAGTTGGTAGGGCTTGGTTTGCGGGTCGAGGTTTTACACAGTGTGACGCGTGTACAATCACGTGGTGAAGCAACCACGATAGGGGCACACGAATGGCGTTGCCCGTAGAACACTCAAACCACTTCGAGGGAAGTAACTCCGCCAACGTCATCGACGGAAAAACGCATAGATTGAATAAGTACTATTTGTAGTGTACTACTCACCTGGGTCCAGGGGAGTCTCTCGAAAGAACCAAATTGTTTGCAAATGAATGGCGTTGCCCGTAGAACACTCAAACCACTTCGAGGGAAGTAACTCCGCCAACGTCATCGACGGAAAAACGCATAGATTGAATAAGTACTATTTGTAGTGTACTACTCACCTGGGTCCAGGTGAGTCTCTCGAAAGAACCAAATTAGTTTGCAAATGAGTGTATATTCGCTGAATAAGTACTGGTTTTGGCGGTTAGCTGTCTGGATGGGTCACGGAGCAGCCTTGCACTACAGGTCAATGGGAGTCGAACCAACACGCATGCGCCGATGCCTCAGGGACCATCATGACACCAATTGAATGAAAATTCCAACGTGGATGACCACATGTTTAAGTGATGTTGTTTGTCTGCTGTTACTAGTTACAATGGATGTCTGATCTGGCAGTCAGTCTTCTCGTTACAATATCACTTTGCACAAAGGTTGATGCAGGGTCATCTATTTCATCTAATCGGTGTTAGATTCGCAAGGTTTGTTATTGTTCATCATGTGTTCTTACAGGGTAGTATTTCATAAACTCATCAAGTTTGGGGTTGCTGAGTGTGACAAACGGAAGATGCGAGGCAACACACTAAATCATAGGCTGGTGGTGGTTTTTGTTGAGCAGAGCTTCGTTCGGAATGCGTTAAAATTTTGTTGGTTGGTTCTGGGGAGCAGAAACGGAGGTAGGGTTTTTTTATTAAAGGTATTTCTTGTTGGTGGTTGGAGGGTGTTTGTACCTGCCTTTCACCTATTCTCCGGTTCAAAGTAGTGCGATGAGAGAACGTCCGGTTTACACAGCCGTTAGGGCCCTAAAACGGAATTCTGGCTCGAAAAACTCGCAACATAGTCTACACCCTATTGTGTAATGAAGTAATGGATACAACAGGTAACTATGAGGTTATTGGTAACCTGAGATACACGGATGTTTTGTCAGTCTTTAGCATACCATCCCTTCACCCACATGACTTGATCACTAACCGTTGAGCCGAATACCTTCGTGCCTCGAAATCGGCAAGTCTGGCGGACGTAACCGGGAACGATGTACAATTTTTGGTCGAGAAAGGAGTCGGTTGCTGTCCACTGATCTATCGTTTCCGAAGCATTTTTTCCCATGCACTATTCGACAGCAGTTATGTTGTTTGGCGTATCCTATCGGTCTTTACTGGGGCGTAGAGTCAACCCAGTTCTCCCAACTTTCGGTAGAAACTTGGGGCAGGAAGTGGTCAATACTAGCATGCATTAACTCCAACTCAGCACGATTATTTTCAATTTGTTAAGTTCCCATCTGCATAACCTCTTAGAGAGGCAAGTAAGAATACCCTATGCAACGACATCAAAAGATGCAAGTGACCGGAAATGGCGTTACCAAACACTGTTGCAGTTAGTTTACTACTTAAGCCGTTTGTTTCGAAGCCAAAATCATGCTTAAAAGTGCACGTGCTTGAAATGAGATGTATTGTACTCGTATTATGAAATAAGATCAGCTATGAGGACAAGCGATATAACTTCCCATCCCTCACTACGGCGTTCACCTTGCGAAATTCGACACCGTGAAATGCTTGCGATTAGCACTTTCAGGATATCTATGTCTGTCCTGTGATAACAAAACAATCTTCACCCGATTGGTTTTTAAAAACCTTGATTTGGGATATGATTCGTTTCATGGCACCATACGCTGGAGTTCACAAGGGCATGTGTACTACCCCTGAACACCTTGTACTTCTGTATTTTCCGGATTCCTTGAGAAGGACTGCATCAAGATCATTGACAAACATTTCGATGTGTAGTGGAATTTCAAGACGTGTAGATTGTTTACTTTCTAGTCGTTTAATACAATGATGATTGCTCAACCGTTTCGATCACAGATTTGTCGAATCCTCAATATCCACTCATTAGAAAATCCACTACATTCGAAAAGAACTAAACGAGACAATTTGATATCCTACAAAGGGACTTCTTCGGGTTGACTTGCAGGCAAGAAGTATCGTGGAAGAACATCAGAGATTATAGTAGTCGACAGCACAGCTTCACCGGAAAATAATGCACTGGGATGAATTTATGGGTGTATCAGCTGCAGGTTGTTTCGTAGTTGGACAAGAATGCTCTGTTTTTCTCTTGCTAGCCCAACTAACCTTCTTGGTCACTGTTTAAGTGAAAGCCAGTGCGTTCGGCTTGTGTTAGGGACTGATTTAGTTGAAGTCCAATAATTTCACCTTATGACAAATTAACTGGGTTTTTCAGAATTGTCGCTGAATTATACGGTCAGGCACAAGTCTGGCCATTTTTACCATCACCTGATTATGATTGACCCTTTCCACACATTCCTGCGTTCCGTTACGAGGCTTAGTAACATCTAAGTTCCTTTAGGCTGATAGGACAGCTAGCCCTGCGCTGGCTTTGTAAGAACAACACGTTTCCCACGATTCATGTAAATTGTCATCGAATCTTTGTTTCATTCCTTTCGTTTAGGGGCCTTCAAGATGTAAGGCGTGATAAACAGTTGTACATGATCCATGCAGTAGGTAGGACCACTGTATTCTTCTATGGGTCTCTTTAGCAGTATCATATATTAAGATATCTTAGCTTTATTATTGTCGTTGATGAGCAGTTTACCGTTACCAATATTCAATGGAAAACTAGGAACTGTTCCGTGTGCCTCATTCAACCATCTGATGGGAGTGCTTTGAATGGAAATCTGTCGGTACGGACAGTCACTACTTCAGGCGCCAACTCTTTTCCATCAGCCAACCAGAGCTGGCAGAAATTCCCAGACGCGTAATTCCTACTGAGGATATCACAAACTGCAGGGTTTACTGGCACATGGTGCTACCTTATGATCCCGGAGCTTTCATTTCGTATTACGGGAGTCATATGCTGCGATATTGGAATTATTCTCGATGTTGCAACATCATTTCCATTTCGCTTGCGAGTTATCTTGAATGATACATCTGTGTGTCAACAAGCTTGTCGTTATTCGATATCGACTTCTTGCAACTACCACTATACTTGTTCTCCTTGTATTAGTTGGAATTCCGAAAAATTTAAATAATAGTTTTTCCCGATTGTTTTAGTTGCTCTGTAAATAAGTGATTCCAGCCAATCATTGTAGTAACCAGCTGTCCTTAGGATGAGTCATTTCCCTGGCCCCAACAAATGACTTGTGACGGGGTTCCGGAATGCTTGTCCACTTCTTATGGCTATAATCGCGGCACACTTTTGTACACTACCAATGGGTAACCGACCTGTGTCCTTTTTCAATCTTTCTTTAGCTACATTTAAGAGGAAGTGTCACCCCAGTCGACTTTCTGTCCGTTGGAATTCCATTGGTGCACTTTCCTGCTCACGTGAGGCCTGCTCTGAGGCTACCGCCAGATTGTGTTGCATATACCGTCTTCCGGTGGATGAACCATCACTTCCCGTCGTTGATACAATGCTCAAGCACACAGATGGTCTTTTACGACCGAAACTGCTGTTCTCGGACTCCCGGCATTCGAGCCTGATCGATCTGCCCACTAAACATGTCAGAGTGAGTGTATTAATCGGCTTTCTAGTAAAAAGGGTGTGTTTTGGTTCCTTCCCTTTCTGCCTTAAGCAAGGTCCTTTTGAACTTATCCATAAGTTGTTGAGCCATGCCCTTTAATTGTGGGTGATATGGGGGCGTTCTGGCTTGGTTCACCACAGGGTGAAGCAGTGAGTAATTACGAGCTGAACCGCTACATCAGTCTTGGGTACAATTCGATGTGCTCTGCAAGGAACCATGGCTTTCGTTGAAACTGATCCCCGTCAACTGGAAAACGCCCAGTCACTGTCGCCGTTGTCAAGCCCCAGCCCAGTCAATGTATGCAATTTAGACGAATGATAGATAGGCCCAACTAACCTTGGCATGTATTGTGTGGTTTCATAGAGGAGATATTGACTATACAGTCAACCAGCCCACGCATACTTGAGACGGCTGTCAGCCTCCTGTTATCAAGCTAACAGGGACAGGAAAAGCAAGAAACATATTGGTTTCGGTTTCTCAGTGTGAATATATGTGCATCTTAGTGTGTAGTAGATCAGAGCTTTCTTATTTTCTTTTTTTGAATGGGGGGGAGGGTTGAACGGGCTGTCGATTTTTATGGAAGAAGTGAGATCACTTTTTTGTAGCGAGAGTATGACTGACCTGGTGTGTCACATCGCATTTGAGTCATTCAACGCAGTGTAGATGGACACTCCAGAGCGATCATTGGAATTTCATGCTTCTGAAGACGAGTTAGATGTGAATTCTGGCAGTACTGCCAACTGACTGAAAGCTTGAATAGAAACAGAGGAGCTGGACTCCACAGTAAACCCCGCGACAAGGTTATATGGCCACTTTCAGTTTTCGTCCCAAGCCAGATGCTGGTTGGTTGTTTTCAAATGGTTCTCACTGGAAATTCAGTCGAGACAAAATAATCGAATTCCCTATCAGAATACGTCCGTCCTCTGTCTTACCTAGGTAGGTACACCTACGCGTGCCTGGTCACATTGACAGGATCCTAGTTTCCTGTTCCGCACATGTTACCTGACAGCTCGCGGAGATAAAAAGTTAGGAGTAGCCATGTCACTGTTAACTGTGGTAACACATCGAACATTAACGTGCTGAAATCTGGATAGGCCACATCAAACGCAAATGACTGCGTGATTTGTATTCCACCCATCGTTCGGTTGAAGTGCGTGCATCTTACAGCCCTAAAATCGTACAGCATTCGATCCCAGTTGTGGAACACTCTCGGTGCATTAAGTTCTTCCTTAAGGCAAAAGCACACTGTAATCACATGACCTTGGCAGCAATGAGCCAGCCAATCGTGTGTTCAGTACCATCGTACAGGCAGCTGTGTTTGCTAATCTACTGAACAAGGATGTACCTTAGAATGTGTTAATCACACAGTAACAGGGTAATCTTGAAAACAGAAAGCCGGAAAACAAACATGGAATCCAGAAATACGGTGCTGTAGCGCTATTTCTCAGAGGGGTGGTGACCTTTTTTCATCGAACAACATCGGTCATTGCTCTGGTTTGACGTTAACAGATCAAACGTAATTCAACCAGTTTTCAGTCGAGTTCTTATTCTGAAGGTTCGTGGTTTGATACAAACCGTGGTTTCTCGATTACTCTGGTCTGCCTTTGGGCAACCTGGCAGCATCGCATCCTTCGCGCCCCTTTCGGGCTGCGTGGCACTTGGGTACCGAAAGGTTACCACAGCAGGTGGACAATTTATCACTCATACAGAGAAATCGTATGATCGCGCAGTTACTGAGGTACAGGACATGACCCAAGATTCAAGAGTACTTGCTGTGCGATGTCTGGTCACTAGTAATTTATCGTATCGTGGTAATAGTTTGGTTATATCGGTTTTGACGTCGTTGATTGTTTTATATCTCTTAGGAAACAATAATCCAGTTACTATCGATAGTTTAAGGCCTGCATTGGTGTATACACGTAGAGTGGTTAGTAGATGACAGAATGCTCCCGAAACCAAATACCATACTTCAAATTTTTAGCCACCCAGACACGGTCGATAAGCATCTGGTCCAAGGTGGAAAATCAGAGTTTTGTCCTATGGTTATGTTGCTGTCACTTTTGGATTTTTATCCAACTGTGCCACCTCTCGGAGATTTTAGAAACCATAATATGGTGTCCGTCTTTCGTCATCGCGTGTCCTGCATTTCCTTGCAAAGGTTCATCCCCCAATACGCCGAATTTCTTCCGCAGTATCTACCTACAATCTAGTTTTTGTGTTGTGAGTAGCGTCACACTAATGAGCTACTCACATGACAGTGGTTTTCTCTCCCAAAGTTGCGCTTCCTAACAATCATAAACTTGATCTCAGGCGAATTTTTGTCGCAACAACACATTTCCGTCCCACCGTTCTCTCGCGAACGAACTTTCGACTGGCCACCCACAAGACACTATGATTACGTTTGAGTGAGGCATCATGCTAATGGCGAAAGATATGCTGTGCGTGTGCGTAAATGAATTTTTCTAAGGAATTTCCACAACCAGTCAGGAGACATTCTCCTGGGTTGCCTGTCTATCCCCCCTCCTGTCGTTTTTTCTTCGAAACCTTTCCTTTTTATCAGGTACGTAAGGATACGGTTATTTACGCCATAGTTAATGTGAAGTAATTGTCTGAACACGGTCTATCGGCGAAAGACCTTGGGCACTGGACTGAAATGGGAGCAAATTGAAACCTGTTTGAAGGACACCTTGTTTGTGGCCTAGAGCAACAAAGGAGTTTAAATTTTCCACACAGATGCACACACACGCACACTAGCCGTTGGGCAGAGTTTGTCTTGGAGATTTGAACTGTTTGTTTGCTGTCGCGCTTTGCTTCATTGGCTTGTTTTCCTAGTCGCTTTGTATGCTTGCGTTGCTCTTGAGTTCTTCCTTCACTCACCCTTGTCCTTCGTCTTTTGCTCTTCCAGTACCCTTTCTTTTGTCAGTCAACCATCTAATACCCGGGTTTGTGAATTCCATTCTATCTTAGGTTTGCGGCGCCAATCTCTGGAAGTTTGATGTGTTTTCCCTCAAACGACAATCATCAGGTTAGTTACTATCTCAGTCGGTGTTTTTGTTAAATGACAAAGGTGACACAGGAATGCTTTTTTGGACGCTCATCACCTGAAACTGGTCAAGGAATGTGCTAACTGCCGCTGCTTCTTCACGCGACATTTTGACCCGTTTTGTCCGGCATACTGGTGCCGAGGAGATGCGTGTATGTATGTGTGTGTACATGACCTACTCGTAGTGGCTCTGTTTACCAGTTTGACCGATCAATACAGTATGATTCTTGTTATTATGCCCCAGCCTAACTGGTCAGATATTTTTTCTCCACCGTTTGACTCTTTTGTCGGGGGGTTTTCGGGGATCATGGTTTTGTTTTTCACGTTTCGTGCCTAGACAATGTCGGTGATCCTGTCTATGAATGATTGGGTAAGTTCTGAAGAAATTCCGGCCAATTTGTGGCCATGCCTTTCCTCACCGCCTCAATAAGCGTGATTGCAGCGATAGCTATGGCTTTCATGAATCTTATTTGTACGACCCTCAGGAACATCAGTGCACTAATAACATCGATCGTCGTGGTGATCCCGAGATCGTAATAATCCACCCAAAAGAAGCATTTCCTCTGAAGTAACATTAACGCGGTGATGGTGACCTAATTTACCCTTCAAAAGGGGTCTTCTCTAGCGGAAGCCAAACAATATCCCCCCCCCCCGAAACTTCTCTGACCCGGAAGGACTACCTGAACTCTCTACTGACCAAACGGTGACCTTCGACGGTTTCGTATGAGATTCAGTCTTCAACTTCATACTATGGTAACCCTCCTCATCGAAGAAACACATGAGGATTCCAAACTGTTAGCTTAACGCAAGCGCTTCCTCATGAGGGGATTCAATGCAATAAAATTTTTTTATCTGATTGTTTGCTGTTCTGTTCACCGAGCTTCGCGGATGCATTGCGAACATTTTGTCACCAGTAAAGATGTCTGTTCAGTCAGCGGTGGCAGCGGCCGGACAAAAAAAACGAAACTTTGCTATCCCTACATCACACTGTTGCCAATCTCACTGATATCCAGGTTTCTCTCGTAATGTTGGTGGGATAGTGCTTTCCGTTCACCTAAAGTGGACGGGCATGCGTATCCGTTATTCACACATGCCATTTCACCCGAACGAAGCATGAAAAGCGTGTCGTGTTGCCCACTTGTGACAGGGGTGATCGAGATGCGAGAGTGGTTTCAAACCACGGACCTTCCAGTCAGGAAGTTCGTGTCTTAACCACCGAGCTGTCCCGGACTTACATGCACTGCTATAACACGTTGAGCGTCCAGAATGGTCATCTAAATTATCAGGATAGCACAAACGAGAGATTAAGCTAGGATCCAGTTGAAACACGTTTAAATCTAATTGGTGTGCAAACGAACGCATTTGGTGAATTCCATGCAATTTAGGTTCCAGCAAAACAAGTTTGACGGCAACTTGGGAACGGCAATCGTCGGATATGTCTCAAAAAGGGTGAACCTGGTCGTGGACTGTGGAAGAGTTTTCAGCAACCTTGTGAGTAGCTAGCTTTGTTTCATCTGCCCAAACTTGAATAAGAACCACAGGACATCACAAATTATTGCAAACATGTATTCGCATGCCACAGCTGAAACAATGGTGGAAACTCGATGAGTACTTAGTTGTCATGGATCACTCCATAAAGCACTTCAATTAATTCGCCTTCAATCGGTGTTTTGACTGTGAGCCGTTCCATTGAATAGTCCATATGCGTATCCAAGGCCACATTATTGGTTATTATGTCAAGCCCGCTCAGAAAAGTTTCACTGATATGGTGGATCGACTCTGCTAATGGTGAGTCCTTTGATACGGGCTTCGAAGTCCTGCTGTTCAGTAAACGAACGTGAAAACGAATTGGCAAGCCGCATTCGAAACCGACCGAACACTCGGCCCGTAATTCTTCTGGTGGTAAACTGAAGCTGAATGGCGAGGATGACTGCTCCATAAGCTTCGATCGCTTGACGACACAAGCCACGTGCTACCTGACGTCATGCTCAGAACTTAATCTCACGCGGTTGGATTGGATCGAAGTGCTGAATCTGCTGGAAGAACCAATTAGTTGTATTTGCAACCTCACACAAGCAGCGCTCAGGTGCCCTCGAATTAACTCGCATTGCGAAGTGTTCACTTGAGAACCTCCTACAGCGCTACGCACCTATATTCGCCGGCGAGCTTGGACGGTGCACAGAAGCAAGAGCAAGACTGCCTCATCCCCAGTGCCAAACCACTTTTCAGGCCAAAAAGCCCAGTACCATATGCAGCCTTACCCATAGTTGACCAGGAACTGAACCGATTACAGAAGGCTGGATTCAAGTTGGCCCAGCCGGGTAGATACGGCACGCAAACCAAATCCGGCTGACGGATGCGCAGATCCCGCTCACAGTACCGAGTGAGTTGAGTCTAGAAATGCTTCTGCATGATCTTGGCACTGGCCCAGCCGGGTAGATACGGCACGCAAACCAAATCCGGCTGACGGATGCGCAGATCCCGCTCACAGTACCGAGTGAGTTGAGTCTAGAAATGCTTCTGCACACTTGATCTTGGCACTGTCCCAGAAAATCCATCAGTTGCTCTGTCGGAGGCCCAGTTGGAGCATGGATTACGACCGCGACATTGGGCAGACACGATCCGTAAGCCAGTGAGGCCACTGGAAGCGGACCCTAGGCTTCGAAGCTACGTCGACACACTTCAAGGGGGAGGTGTTGGGCGATATTCATCACACCTGCCGCTTTACTACTCGCTATCAGGCGCTGCTACGACCGAGAAGCCTATCCCGTTCAAGATAAGCCAAAAGTTCGGGGCGCTTGCCGGTCCGGCATCAAGCCGAGATATGATTGGTCGAAAGTGTGGACCCAACAGCCAATCATGACCCAGTACTGGCCGAATGCCCGTTGTCAGTGGCGCATCCAGAAGGCGTCAGAATTTCCAGAAATTTGTTACAGCTTACATTATATTTATGAAACGCTGTACAAGTGTTCTTGACTTCGTTTTGGGCGTTCATATACCTTGTGGTTGTTTTGATGTGAAGGCTAGTTTGGGAGGCTCAAACCGACGTCTAACTAGAGTGTATTTTGAATAGTGCGCCGGATAGTGTGGCCTAGTGACGTCAGCCAAGCTTGACGTCATTTCAGCTCTTAGATATTTTTACAACTGCTCCGATTGCGTACTTGTATGTGATTTTTCGAAGAATTCTCCACCTTCTCTATCTTCTGCGACTTAATAAGCACTAACCGCGAGCTTTTACCATACTTTTGGACCACCGCGTTCCGAGTGTCGTGTACTGTTCACAGCGACTGCGGTTAACATCGTTGCAACGGGCTGACCGTCGGAAAATATCCAAATCATTTTTATCGTTTTCGCATGCTGACAAGATTGTTTTGAAACAGCGGTTTCGGAAATCCTTTGGCTTATCAGTTTGTGATCCCAGTCACATTTTTCCTGTCTAATGTCATCTGGAGATATAGAACTCTCAGCAGCACGGTTCCGTTTCAAAACACAGTGCCCCCTCAGATTTGACGCTTCTACATTATTTTCCCATATTCATGGGGATTGGTGTTGATTTGTTCAAGCGGTCGACCACGCACCTTCCTAGGTCAAGAAACTCATCACCGGTGTCATAAGTACGTGATTGCTCAATATGAGTTTTCAGAACCCATTTAAGCACAAAGGAACAACTTCCCAGACCCGATTTAAGAAGGAACAAGTGAGGGCTTCAGACAAAATCCTCAAATCCTTTGTGCAGAGGAATAAAATGATCATGCTCTATAAAGTGAGATAGGATTAATAAGACAGTTTGCAGAAGCTTGAACTGGTGGTTTCATTCCGGATGCCACTCGACACAAAACTAAGCACACAAAGGACGGCAACTCCGGAATTCTACTTACGCTGACAGGTTGCCAGTACATCCCATTGGATTGGCAGCTCGATGCACACGAATTTATGTGGATGGCGAATTGAATATCACGACGGGTCTACCGTACTCAGTTTACTGGGCCCGGGTTGCCGTGTTGTTGACATCACGGGGTTCCATGTAGGTAGCTTGGATTCGGATTCCTGCACAGGGGCTTTAAAACCAGTTGTTAGCCCCGTCCACAAGTACACATATTGAATGCTAAAAATCGACCTTTAAAGTTAGATTTTGTGTTGATCCAATGCGCCCCGTTTGTTTTATCTACCTGAATTAGTGTGAACTGAGGATAGTCATGCTGTTAGCGTTTCAGGCTCTAAACCGTGGAAGAATGGTATTTTGACTCTGTTTTATCAAGGCTCTTTCGATCAACTACCCTTGTCTCTTCTGATTGCTTTATAGGTCAGGTTGTGTGTGATTTGGGTATGCATCTATTCGAAGTCCACGGTCTGTTCCGTCGTCTCCGTCTCAACCGTCTGGTTGCCATGCGCACTTTAAGTAAGTTCTATGGCCGTCAGCACAGTTCACGACCCCCTGGTATATATGTACATGTATAACATATATATATATATATATATATATATATATATAAGCCACAATACTACCACTATCGTTTATTTTTGAAGAGCATGGTCACAAACATAAAAAGTGAATGCGAGCGATGAATGCGAAAGAGTAACAGGAGAATATGGGAGAAAAGAGAGAAACGTTTCATTCGAAATCATGTCAAGAATAATTCCAGTCTGATGAGGTGAATCCCAAGAATGTTGATATGGAAACACGCGTCCAAAGACCAACAACAATGTTGAATGCTCTTCAAGGCGCGGTAGGCGCTAGCACAACCAAGACTCACACATCAGGCACAAAGTGTCCGACATAATTGGTCTGGTGTGAGATTAAATCGCAAAAATGTACATTCTACGCCATGTGTCACGCATAAAAGTGTCATAAGTACGCAGAGAGCCCACAATGGCAAGCAAACACAAGTCACTGACTGCGACCTTAGGAAGTCCCAGTCCAATAACAGGCTTAGTGGAGTGAGGAAAGCAGATCCCTCGATAAGAGTTGATCATCGGTTGGTGAACCAAAAAGTCGACATCACAGCCGATTGCACTACTACATTAATTCCGGTAATGTGTATTCCTAGAAATTCTTGTGGTGCATAATGCCAGGTCGCCATTCGAGGTGTCGGGCTTTCCTCGCCCATCGCTCAATCGCGAACATGTTCGCCTGTTCCGACGTGAAAATTCAGATGCGTCCAGTCTGCGCTGGTGGTAACAAGCTTGCCTCGCATGTGAGATCTGCGGAGTTCAGTCGCCGTCACGGCCAACGATGTGCACTACTGATTAGCTCCAATAAGAACGAAACTCGAGTCTAGTGCTCCTCCCCCTTTGGTGTGAGCTCATCAGAATGCCCCGGGACAAGAGACCGACTTTTCAAACAAGCGTAATGTGAGCGTGCACTCTACAATCCCACAAACACCTCCAACTAAACATAATATTTTCACCTACTAGCTGAGACTTATCTTTTTTTCTGTTCGTCATGGAGTGTCTATCCAAATCCAGGACACCCTGTTAGCGGCGGCTTTACGTCTCACCCCTCCTATGTACGTGCATCAATTTTGCATCGGTTTTGAAAGTCTACTTTTGGGGTTAAGTTAGCTTAATATCTTGTTTGTAACAGATACTTAGGTTTATGTCCACTTCCGGCGCAACTGGGAGATTTATCTCGTCTTTTATCTTGTTATCTCGTGTTTTAGATGCTCTGGAATCAGCTTACTGGGAGCACAATCCTTATCACACTGCAGTCCATGCTGCCGACGTCATGCAAGCCCTGCATTGTTTCATCTCTCAACCCAAGGTGGGTTGTCTTTATACTGTATTTTTATCGCTTCGTGTTGCAGGGTTACAGTTTGTCGTGTTTGATTTGACTGGTTGGGGTATTCCCGGGGTTTCTCACAGACCTTACTCAAACGCCCTTTTTGGCGACGACTCTCTTCCATACGTCGCGCCACAAGCTAGCTAGCCACTGGTTTGTTACGAAACTCGTCGTGGATAATGGGACATTAGTCTGCCACCTCCAGATTTGAAGTCATTTACCTCAAGCTGAGACTAATATAATGTAATCAACCAATCTCCGTTGAATTCAGCAATGAAGAGAGGTTATTCTGGATGCTTTTAAAGATGCCTTTCCGATGCTTTTAAAGAGAGTGGTCTTTCATCGAACTAGTCATTCGCGTGCAATCCGAGGGGGTCGGACTTTCATATCTGTTGTTCCTCACGTTTGTTGTTTTGTAATAAGCGCTGCCTCTGGGTTCATTGAAGCTGACATTTATTCCGCCAGTTTTTCTTCTGAACTTATAAATTGCATACACATCCACCAACGTACTATCGCTTTGGTCCTATTCGAGGCTAATTAAGTTTACCTTGTTACTGAGCTTCAAGCAAATAACTTATGTCGAAATCGTGAGATTCTTCCGAGTATAACATTGGCACCAATTAAGTTAGAAAACGGGTGATTTGGTCAACCACAGTATGCATTTTACCGCACCTGTCCGATGAATCCCAACCTCGTGAAAAGTTTTTCATCCATCTAATAACTTTTGTGTGTATAACTTTTGTGTGTGATAAAAAGGCGGCTTTTTGCATGCGCAACTGCAAGTGTTTGATTACCATCGCATCCCCTTCTCCTGTTCAGTAGACCGCTTTCCGCTGGAATTGGGAGGTTGGATTTTAATCTAATCTACCTCTACTTGTTGCGTGTTATGGTGACCTTACAAGGGCAAGTGAACGACTGTCCCTTATCAAGCCGGGTACGCACCTCCATTTCCTGTCAGGCCGCCCACTTTCTGAATCTTACTGCGCCGGAAACACTTGAGCAGATAATTTTGTCATGGCCACCACAGGACACGAAACGGCACGTTCGGCTGAAGACGTCAACCATGTGTACGCTAAAATTTACTGATAGCATCTTACTTAAGTTGTCCCCCAGAGACAAAGGAGCGTCATGATTTTGTCGTCTTCTTGTAGCTGGTGGGAAAGATAGCTTGTAAGGCAAACCGAGACTGAGCCTCCCGCGCTGTGTACATCGGTCTATGTAATGTTGCGATGACGTTTCCACCCTATTAGGAGGTGTTTACGCTAAAGTCGTCCGTTCGAATTTGTCCTGTTCTGGGATAATGGCGTGTACAGGAGCTTGTTTGCTAACCCGTGGGGCAGTTTTGTTTGCCCTGCCAGTATATAAGCCACAATACTACCACTATCGTTTATTTTTGAAGAGCATGGTCACAAACATAAAAAGTGAATGCGAGCGATGAATGCGAAAGAGTAACAGGAGAATATGGGAGAAAAGAGAGAAACGTTTCATTCGAAATCATGTCAAGAATAATTCCAGTCTGATGAGGTGAATCCCAAGAATGTTGATATGGAAACACGCGTCCAAAGACCAACAACAATGTTGAATGCTCTTCAAGGCGCGGTAGGCGCTAGCACAACCAAGACTCACACATCAGGCACAAAGTGTCCGACATAATTGGTCTGGTGTGAGATTAAATCGCAAAAATGTACATTCTACGCCATGTGTCACGCATAAAAGTGTCATAAGTACGCAGAGAGCCCACAATGGCAAGCAAACACAAGTCACTGACTGCGACCTTAGGAAGTCCCAGTCCAATAACAGGCTTAGTGGAGTGAGGAAAGCAGATCCCTCGATAAGAGTTGATCATCGGTTGGTGAACCAAAAAGTCGACATCACAGCCGATTGCACTACTACATTAATTCCGGTAATGTGTATTCCTAGAAATTCTTGTGGTGCATAATGGTCGGTCGCCATTCGAGGTGTCGGGCTTTCCTCGCCCATCGCTCAATCGCGAACATGTTCGCCTGTTCCGACGTGAAAATTCAGGTCCAGTCTGTGTTCCGACGTGAAAATTCAGATGCGTCCAGTCTGCGCTGGTGGTAACAAGCTTGCCTCGCATGTGAGATCTGCGGAGTTCAGTCGCCGTCACGGCCAACGATGTGCACTACTGATTAGCTCCAATAAGAACGAAACTCGAGTCTAGTGCTCCTCCCCCTTTGGTGTGAGCTCATCAGAATGCCCCGGGACAAGAGACCGACTTTTCAAACAAGCGTAATGTGAGCGTGCACTCTACAATCCCACAAACACCTCCAACTAAACATAATATTTTCACCTACTAGCTGAGACTTATCTTTTTTTCTGTTCGTCATGGAGTGTCTATCCAAATCCAGGACACCCTGTTAGCGGCGGCTTTACGTCTCACCCCTCCTATGTACGTGCATCAATTTTGCATCGGTTTTGAAAGTCTACTTTTGGGGTTAAGTTAGCTTAATATCTTGTTTGTAACAGATACTTAGGTTTATGTCCACTTCCGGCGCAACTGGGAGATTTATCTCGTCTTTTATCTTGTTATCTCGTGTTTTAGATGCTCTGGAATCAGCTTACTGGGAGCACAATCCTTATCACACTGCAGTCCATGCTGCCGACGTCATGCAAGCCCTGCATTGTTTCATCTCTCAACCCAAGGTGGGTTGTCTTTATACTGTATTTTTATCGCTTCGTGTTGCAGGGTTACAGTTTGTCGTGTTTGATTTGACTGGTTGGGGTATTCCCGGGGTTTCTCACAGACCTTACTCAAACGCCCTTTTTGGCGACGACTCTCTTCCATACGTCGCGCCACAAGCTAGCTAGCCACTGGTTTGTTACGAAACTCGTCGTGGATAATGGGACATTAGTCTGCCACCTCCAGATTTGAAGTCATTTACCTCAAGCTGAGACTAATATAATGTAATCAACCAATCTCCGTTGAATTCAGCAATGAAGAGAGGTTATTCTGGATGCTTTTAAAGATGCCTTTCCGATGCTTTTAAAGAGAGTGGTCTTTCATCGAACTAGTCATTCGCGTGCAATCCGAGGGGGTCGGACTTTCATATCTGTTGTTCCTCACGTTTGTTGTTTTGTAATAAGCGCTGCCTCTGGGTTCATTGAAGCTGACATTTATTCCGCCAGTTTTTCTTCTGAACTTATAAATTGCATACACATCCACCAACGTACTATCGCTTTGGTCCTATTCGAGGCTAATTAAGTTTACCTTGTTACTGAGCTTCAAGCAAATAACTTATGTCGAAATCGTGAGATTCTTCCGAGTATAACATTGGCACCAATTAAGTTAGAAAACGGGTGATTTGGTCAACCACAGTATGCATTTTACCGCACCTGTCCGATGAATCCCAACCTCGTGAAAAGTTTTTCATCCATCTAATAACTTTTGTGTGTATAACTTTTGTGTGTGATAAAAAGGCGGCTTTTTGCATGCGCAACTGCAAGTGTTTGATTACCATCGCATCCCCTTCTCCTGTTCAGTAGACCGCTTTCCGCTGGAATTGGGAGGTTGGATTTTAATCTAATCTACCTCTACTTGTTGCGTGTTATGGTGACCTTACAAGGGCAAGTGAACGACTGTCCCTTATCAAGCCGGGTACGCACCTCCATTTCCTGTCAGGCCGCCCACTTTCTGAATCTTACTGCGCCGGAAACACTTGAGCAGATAATTTTGTCATGGCCACCACAGGACACGAAACGGCACGTTCGGCTGAAGACGTCAACCATGTGTACGCTAAAATTTACTGATAGCATCTTACTTAAGTTGTCCCCCAGAGACAAAGGAGCGTCATGATTTTGTCGTCTTCTTGTAGCTGGTGGGAAAGATAGCTTGTAAGGCAAACCGAGACTGAGCCTCCCGCGCTGTGTACATCGGTCTATGTAATGTTGCGATGACGTTTCCACCCTATTAGGAGGTGTTTACGCTAAAGTCGTCCGTTCGAATTTGTCCTGTTCTGGGATAATGGCGTGTACAGGAGCTTGTTTGCTAACCCGTGGGGCAGTTTTGTTTGCCCTGCCAGTGTAGGAGTCTTTCGGTGTTGTGATCAGCGGATGGAATACCATGAAATATTAACCTCGCGAAAGAACATGTTCGAAATTTTTACCGCCTTAGGCTGAACTCAGTTATCGCAAACCTGTGCACTCTCCAGCAGCCGTTTTCTCTGACCTAAATTTCTCACTGAATGTTTGGTAAACTGTTTGTGGAATCCGTGCCACGTTTTGTACAGGAGGGAAAATTTTCAACTCTAGATGCATTTCTTGTGGTCAAACCGACAAGAAGAACGTCTTACAATGGGATAACAGAATACTTATGAAACACGCCAACCAATCAGGGAACACAACATACGAACAATCGATAATATGCGTAAGCAATGTCGGTTATTCATGAGGTACGGGACGATAAACTAATCGAGTCAGCCGTCTGAGCCAACACACCTGAGGCTAAGCTGGTTCAGCAAAGAGTTTCTGTTTGCATTACCCAATGTCCCCTCGTTTAGTGCTTCTCTTCGCAATCCATTTAAATAGTTTCCCACAAGAAATACTTCTATTTGCACATCACTTGCATCAGCACATTCTGCTGGAATTTCCATCCGTTCCCGAATGCTGCTGCCCTAAAACATCATTTCCGGTTTACTTAGCAATGGGCTTTGTGTGGCCCGATGAAGGGAAACCCACTGGCGATATCTATGCATTCTTCTGATTTTTCACTAATGGATTCAATGACCCTTTGTGCTGAAGGCCACATTTCGTGAGGATAATTCGTTGCCGGCGCAGACGAGGTATTGCACATACTTGCCTGCTTAGTCCGGCTTCTATAGGTCGGTTGTTTGATTCTGTAGTCTATGGGTTGGTCCCAGTTTGCGCCAAGACAGGCCTACACTCCGGATGTTGTGATAAGTTAGTGGAGACCTCAGTTCGTTGAAATGAACTGGTCAGCTTAAATTCCGTTCGTAAGTTCATTCGGTTAGTCCAGGCTTTCCTATTTTTTCTTGCCGAAAGTCCAACCTCGCGCATCACCAGATGGTGACTTTTCCGCGTTCGTACTGCAAGCGGATTGAACACAGGAATAGCACACATAATGAATCACCATAGTTGGAGATAGTTCATTCCTACCACATCCTGCACATACCACCGCGGTCACAACTCTGACTGCATTGATGGACAAAATGCATATGTGTGCCAGTTTTCAAATTGGATAACAACAATAATACACTGTTTTCCAACCATATACGTGTGCTTTATGCGGCAGTAAAGCGGATGCCCGGTAAAATCCATTTGCTATTATAACTCAGCTATTATTCTCACACAGAAAAAACGTTCGTTCATGTTATCTTAACCCGTAATCTGTAATCCCTTTCCAACCCATTTTTTCCGTCATCGTCATCATTTCTGTCCCGATTAGAAATGAGAATACACTGGAAGTGGATCCTAGTTCATTACTGTGATGCAACAGATGGGTAAACAACGCTTTATTAAGTAGTGGCTGGAAATATGGCAGAGGTTAATTTAATAGAAAAAACGTTCCGTCGTGATGCCTACAACTGATCGTTTGGAGACAAGGGGTCTGATGACTGTTTCAGCATCCTTACTGTCATTGTTCAACACAAGCGCCATCCCACAACGACAGATAATCCATAGTGTCGTGTGCACACAATAGAGGCACCAGGTCCCAGCGATCCTCTGAAGGTAGGTGTTCACGACAATCTCTGTGGATGGAAAACAAAGTAAGCCGAAGTCCAGTAAGCAACATTGTACATCGTTCAGCTGTAGCACCATTTCGGTGCCTAACTGCATGCCACCAAGAAGGAAGCACGAGGTATGGAATACTGCCAAGTTGCCCAAGCCCAGACAGGGGAAGTCGATCAATAAACACATCGACATTGACCCAGTCTATCAGCCGTTACGAGCAAAGGAACCACACAGTCATGGGACTCTGAGCCAAGAAACCTAACGACAACCAACCGACTAATTGGATTAAAGGAAGACAATCACTGAAAAACAGAAGGCCGCTGACTCAACCAAGCAAGGAAACAAACTCACACCACAAAGCAAGAAGAAAGCGGCCGAATCACTAGAGAACAACTACACACAGAACTGCCTAATTGAATGCGCCCAACGAACCAACCAGATACAGAAGATTGAGACCACGTCAGATTCACAGAAGGCCAATCAAACTACGCGAAGATCGCCTTTAGAACTACCAGATACCGTTTAGATGTTATATAATCACAAGCAGAAGAGGAGGAATTCACCCGCTCAACCCTGCACTGACGATGTCACGTCGATTGGTGATGAAACGTTTGCAATCCAACTGCCAAGCTCGGCGAACAGACCAACAACCAAACAGCACACCCGAGCTACCTACATTCCACAACATTGCCATGTTTTCATGTCTTGTGGTGCTTGTAACCAAACCAAGGAGGCATACAGTTTGGACAGTTTTCAAGCAGACGTCTTCGTGGTTATTTTTATTTTGTTGGTTGCCACTTGTGAACAGTTTTCTAGTTGGTCGTTGGCTTGTTCGCTGAGCTGGGCAATTTGGTTGCAAACGTTTCATCACCAATCGAGGTGACATCATCAGTGCGTAGTTGTGCGTAGCGGTGGGTTAGTGGTTGTTACGGCTAATTAGGTGTGAAGGGTAGGACTCGCTTTGTAAGATATTGGATGGCCGTGCGTAGCACTACATTGACCATCCTAACATGGTATTCTCTATTCATCACTTCAGAGAAGTTGATCTATTATGAACGACTTCTTTGTGGGATCATTGCTGTTGATGATTACCGCAACATCCTAAAGATGGCGATGACTAGATGCTTGAAAATATGTCATGACGACAAGCCAGGTGTCACAATTCTCAACGTTGTTTTGAGTGCATTTGTCTCACGTTTCGAGGAAATCTAATTCTCATGTCACGGACGACAGTCGGCTAAAGTATCACAAAACATGTCCCTGAAGATGAAATGCCCGAAAGCATCATCGAAAACTGTGGATTAGTCGGTGTCCTGGAGTGGTCGTAACACGTTCACACGTTCCTCGTACCGACTTTCACCTTACAGTCTGTGGTACATCAGCTGTTTCAATTCACACTTCCGTAATTTGTTTGCTTTTTAGTGACACCTCACCGAAATTCGTCCCACCCAGTCCATTATAACGAAACGGCTTAGATGGCTTTTAGACCTTACTCCAAAATGTTTGTTTCTCTTGGCAAATGACGCTAGTCGAAATTCAGTAGAAGTGGAACCCGGTTTATCCTGTGTAGAGTAACATGCCTTCGATGTGAAGTAGTCAGTCTGTATCGCTTCTCCTAAGCTACCACACACTTTCAATGCAGTCGCCCTCAGTTGAAGGCAACCTGATCAGTACCTGATCTGAAGACAGGAAACGCGAGCTCTGTCTCGGTGCCACCTTACCCCGAAGTATCTTTCTGGCTCGGTTAATTTTCGGCAAATGTAGCTGGTTGACTGATGCAAAGTTTTGGCCGTGTTGCAATGTTACAAAGCTGACTGCAAATATCAACCATTTAGGTGGGCTCACGGGAGGTTTTGTCAATCAGAATATCGACGAACCGAATATCTGTGTTTCGTTTTCAACCCAAAGGTTTATAATGGTATATAGAAATCCAGCGAGTGAATCACTGCTTCTACAGTTTCAGGCTTATGAAGAATGTATACACTACTACTGAATCTGGCATTCTGTCCATGGCGGTCATTTCAATTTTTTTCGAAGCAAAAGATGATGCTTTTTGTCCATTCTTTGAGCTCCCGAAGCGTTGTATCCAAATACGGATATTTTCGGCGTATGTGGTAGTAGTCACAGTAAGGTCGAACATTCGTTGACCTGTCAAATTGTTGAGGAATGGCAAACTGGTAAGTGTAGATATGCAAATTTTAAATAGGTCGTGTGCTTGACTGTTCGGAAATTCAATACGCAGCATGTTAGTGGCGAAATTTCAGAGATTATTTTACTACCTTGTTTTGTGCGGTACCAGACTTGGATAAAATTGGTTTCTAGGGCACAGCCGGTGTGTGTACCTTCTCAAGTCAATAGATCCATGATTTATGCACTTTTATGTTCATCTGTCGGATATCTAATTCATTTTTGGGGGTAGCGCTGTATATTGGAATTATCTTGCAAATTTTTATTGCTCTTTTTTGGATTTCGTCACGGAAAATATTGCCTGAGCGATATATTCATCTGGATATGAGCAGTTTGCATTTACTTCCCCGAGGGCTTAGTTACTGGACAGAGTTAGGTTAACGATCTGTCTAACTTATCACCATCGATCTGTCTGTCCTTCAAACTTGTCACCGGTTAACTGGAGTGGAAAATCGCATTCTAACCACTACCCAATTCCGTTTCCCTCCAATCTTTTCTCACACTTCAGTTGCTGTGTTTACTGAGTCCTGTCGAGATTCTTGCCAGTCTACTGGCCGCTGCTTGTCATGACGCAGATCACCCGGGAGTGAATCAGATGTACCTGGAAAGGACCGAAAACTTTTTGGTAAACCTATACAATGTATGTCTGTATTTTTCCTTTTATGCACGCATATTTGGTTTGTTCTGGTACTGCACCTGTTCTGCCCTGGTAAATATCGGAGTTTCTGATCTACTTATTTTTGGCCATTCAACGCAGTTGGACTAATTTTCCATTGACTGCTTCTGTATCGTAGTCATCCAGTCCCTGTCCGTTTGTGCCTGGTTCCACCAAGAACATTGTATATGAATATATTTTGATATTTAATACCAGATGTAAGGGATATAGTAACTTGTTTGGATCATATTGTACGCTTTTGGTACTGTTAATACCTGCCTTCGGTTTGACACTGGCCTGCGTACTTTGGTTAGTTAGAAGCGAACCCAGTTCTACTGCATAAACTTGGAAAGATTCGTTACCGCATTCACTGGAGACGATAGCACCACATGTGAGGTGGACTGAACCAAACCAAGTATACTAAACAAATTCTACGAGTCCTTCATCGAGGGTACTAGTTTTTGGTCGATTCTGTCAGTTTCCAATTGTTGTGTAAAGAGGCCCCTAATAGTAACAGAAACTGCTCGTTTATGAGGCAGTTGATACCTCTGCGATGACCCTCATCATTCCTCGCAGCTTGCCTGCAGGATTTTTATACCTAGGTCATGCGGCCTCCACGACTGTCACGTGCCACGAAATGGAGGTCTCACATGAATAGTTAGATTTCAGTGAGATGTGGGTGTTTGTGGAATTACATTAGTGTTCTACACAGTTGGTAAACGCAATTTTACCCACAATTAGTGATTTTTCCAAGTAATTACTCTTTACAGACCCGTACCATTAGCAATAGAAAAGCCTGGCTGTCTAGAACAGGCAGCCATCTACAGTTCACGTGCATTAACCTTGGAGCATAAAGGTGTAGTCAACGCTTGAACTCTTCTTTGTTGTTACGGGTCATTTAGTACCGAAAGAAGGACTCTGCTGCTCTCAGGCAACCGTAAATCTAGTGTAAGCCTTTTGACACCTAGAGATACCATATCATTCACTCATTCTTCAGACGCTAAAACTACCAAAATCATAAAACTGCCTTATCGGAAAGGCTTCGCCAGGTGCACCTGACGATCTCAACGAGCGCAACAGTAGAACTAACCAGAACAGTCAATAAATGGGTTACGTATTATCATTGTTATTAGGCATACTGGCAGCATTGTTGTTGTAGGTGGTCGTGTTCAATGCGTGTGAACTTCTGGTTGCAGATAGCGGATCTCTGGATGAAAAAACTCTGTATAGAAGAGAACAAAATGATTCGACGCTAAGCTTTTCAGTTTAAGAGATACCGTTGCCGCGGCTCACTTTACCTTACTTCAGCTATTTATTGCGTGAGGATGACAGCTTGTTGGATGTCTCGAATCGCAGCTTCCAAAACGCGGTTGATGACACGGTCAAGGATCTAGCGTTTGTTCCACTATCCCAGACCATGGATAATCTATGTAATTATGCGTTCAGCGTCGGAATTAACAGCGTCATTCCAGGTTTTCATCTGACTATCTCAACCGCAACGCCATTCTTGATGAAATTTAGAGGAAGAAAATCTATGACACTGTCCTTATGTGGCGAGCAAAGGACATTCCCGGGTTGATGATGTTGTTATATAAGCTGTTCTAGTCGTACAACATCAAAATGTCGATAGTGGGTTTCTTCATTGGTTGCACAGTCTTGAGTACGTGCTCTTGGTATGCACCTTAAGCTCTAAAGATTGGGAATCTTCATCTTACGCACATCTGCGTCGGGCGTCTGCCAGGTTTTTACAAACATCAAGTAAGCCACGAAGAATGTCAGGTTTATTGATTCGAACCTTAGTCTTCAGATTAACTTATGTTGTATGCCACAGTACATGCTTCACTTGAACGAATTCCAAGTTGACTATCCAAGCGAGTTCGGACGAACGGTCAGACTGAGTTGTGTAAGCTCTCAAACCTTCTCGCGAGACTGCCTCTTTGCCGAACCAAACAGTCTGTTATGTTTATTTTTAACTATTAAACGTTATTAGACGTATTAAACGTTATTATTATACCAAGGGGGCAGACATTCGTTGGAGAGTGGAATTCGAGAGCACAGGAGCGATAGATCTGTTATTTACTGACTGGATTCGCCCTCCGGAGGTACAAATGTATGAAATTCGTAAAAGTGGCAATCGAGATTCTGCATTCACGGGTTGCTATGCTTCACGCACCGATCCGAATGCTCAGCGCATATCGTGCACTCCGGCTCGTTACATGTCAACGGCATCTGCACCATGAAATCATTCGAAATTCCGAATTGATACAGGATACAAAAGCAATTCACTGGAACTACGCTTCCTGTTGTGTTGAAAGTGCATTTGCCGCCACTTGGAATTGTCATAAATGTGCGATTCCGAGAGCAGCTGAACATCTGTTCATTATCGCTGAAGTTATTTAACAATAATTGTCAATGATTTTCTATAGCAGTGATTACCATCTAACAAGTAAACTGCTGTGTCAACCGATTGGTGCACCTGCCTCTGATATGACGTCAGCAACAGTTTTTGGTTCCTCTCACGGATGTCAACGACTGGCCTGGGACTATCGATCTTTTTCTATTAAAAAAATCCACCAACGTACTGGGACTAACTGGACCGACTTGCGCGAAACTAATTTAATTCTAGCGCTTTATGGAATCGACACGGTAGTCATAACTAGCTAAACGGAAATGTGAATGAGACAGGTACGGTGTGCCGTGCATTGTACGGAAATTTTGGAACAAATTCGCACTCAACGGTGAAATGAAATCTTTCGGTACGGCAACCAAAGTAAGGCGTTGCATGGGTCGAACGATATGCGCAGCGAGTTTTTCTGCTGCCAACTGGGCACGGATGTATAGCCCTGGAGTGATTGCTCATCCAAAGCATGGGTCAACAATTCGTTTGAGTTATCCTTGTCAATCGCTCCTGTTCTCCTGTTGAAAGCGCAACCTTAAAAACTTGTGCACAATTAGATACTCTAGATTCGCTCACTTGTCATGGCGCGTTTGCAATTTCGGACAGCTGCTCCTGTGTGAGCTTCAAAACATCCCAACACGATCAGCTGGATTCTTACGTAATTTACTTTATTGTACTCCGCACCTCCCGTTTCTCTGTCATCTCAATGACTTGTACCAACATGGCCAGTTGTGTCGTCGGAATTTGTTTGTTTAGTTGAATCGTCTGGACAGCACACGGTAGCCCTTTTTCTGAACTGATCACCACGGACGAATTATGTAAATAGGAACATTTGAGCTTCTCACTTTGGACAGTACGATAATCCCCTTAGATCGGAATTCGCCACTCTGGCTAAGCAGTATTTTTCTTCTGACCAGTGGCTCTTTTACATATACTCGTATTACTGTAATAAATCTAGACTTCTCAACATCTTAATTAGTTCACCGTCATCAGTGTTTGAACGCTGCCCACACCCAAGCAGGGTCTTATTACTTCTCAATCAACCGCGCATTTTCACAGAACAAAAAACACATGCTTTTGCTCCAGTTTACCGAATAGACAGTTCTAGTAGATAAACGAGCCTGTAGAATAACAGAGTCTATAGATACACAGTATATTTCAAATTCAGTAGCTTTTTTCAAATGAAATGACGCATGCACAAAAAGGTAGACTCATTTACGGTTGATTAGCTGCAGGTTACCTGTTTCGCGCAGTAATTCCGTTTGGCAAGGAACACGAAAGCAACCACAGCCTTCTCTGGTCTGTTCTAGACCACTTGGACAGCGTCTAGATGATTGCGTTACCACTTATTGAGAGGTATTAGAGCACATCTTGGTTAACACAAGCTTTGCTCACAATTGATTAGGGGAAAATCCCCTCCGGCGGTACGGTTGTCTCCCATTTTGGAACACTTGTGGTTGGCCCTTTGAAACTCCATCCTTCGAAAAAAAAACACTAAGAAAATAAGAGAGCTTTTGTTCCGCCATTATATATATGTTCTCTCTAGACGGGACAACAGCAGAAATAAATACACTGTAGGTTTGAAAAGGATAAAAGGTAAGTCAGGGATGTTCAAGTCGGCCTCTAGGTTTTTCTTAAGGAAGTTCATGGTAAAATGGGCACTCCTGTATACTTTTTGTACGGACACTGACAGAAACTTGTAGATATTACCGAGACTGATTCTAGGTGACGATGATTGGTGGTTGGGTAGTCAGCCCCTCACGTTGAACGACTCAGCTTGATTTAGCTGGAGTGTAAAATCAATCCGGTGGTTCACTGTCGCACCTTGCCGACTTGAATGTATCGATCCTTTGAAATGGACTCTGAATTTTATGATCCACAAACGTGACTGAACATACGGCGGGAAATCTCAGGCTGACGATCTCTCTTTTAGTTTACATTGAATGTAAGTTGAATGTTACTGGATTTGCCGGGGTCGAAACATTCTTTTTTCAATCGCCTCTCACAGTCCCGTGGGTGGACTTCTTTTGGTAGCCATTTTAACCAGGGTCCACGCAGTTAAATGAGATAACAGCCTCATAAGTAGAGCAATCTTAAGCGAATAAATTTCGGTTTTCTTGACATAACACTATTCATAGGGCTGCTGAAAACTGGTCGAGAGACCACGAAATCTGTTACAGTCCTTCGTGACCTATGATCGTCCATTGCCACGTGGTTGAAGGTCCATTCACCTAACAAGGCCCCCGGATTTTATATATATATATATAT